GAGAATATAATGACTATAAACTTTGTGGTGAGTGTGAGACCAAACATTGTGAGCACTACTATTATTACATCAAATATTCCGCACGATTCCTAATTAGTTAATAAAATTTGTATAATTAATGAACTCATCAAAAATTCTAATATAAGATAAAAATGTGATTTACTTTAAGGAAAACACAGGCAAATATGGACACAAATACTGGTATAGAGAATGTTATGATAGAGGCGTCGGTGAGGGATAGGAGTCTGAAGGCATAGAATGTGAAGAATAGTGAAGTGGCGCCCGATATGCTCCTTAAGACCAATATATGTCGGACTCCTTTGGGTCCGAAAACATTGCTACCATTTTTGACAACTACCGGAATACTAAAGACAAATATGCCGACAAATCTAAATATAGCCAACTGTGCGGGTGATATGTCCTGTCAAATGGAAAAGCAATTTCTCATCTCTTTTATGGACCACATAATGAAAATAAATTCTTACCTTTAAATACTTGACAATCGCTGATGAAAATGAGAAACATATAGCGCTAAGCAGTGAGAGAATAATGCCTTTATATAACTGCCATTGGAGTGAATGGTTAGAAATTTTATCGCATTGTTTGTCACACTTCTGATCGTTTGCGGTATTTTTGTCATTAAAAACAATGAAAACCTTTTCTTTGTGAACAGATTGTTGACTGTCTTTCGACATTTTCCTTTGAGTTGTCATTATATGAAATATTTATTTTTAGTTGTATTCAACACAGGGTACAAAACGTATGACTTAGATTTTAAGTCTTAAATGATATACAACTGCATATCTTTTGGATTATCTAAAATATAAAAAAACTTTTACTTTTTGCTTTTCATTAATTTATTTAATAAACCATTTATTAAAATTTGCATAGTTACTAATGACTATATTTTTATCAAGCATTCTACTGTAAGTTTAAATCAACATATAAAACATAAAAAAACTTTTACTTTTTGCTTTTCATTAATTTATTTAATAAACCATTTATTAAAATTTGCATAGTTACTAATGACTATATTTTTATCAAGCATTCTACTGTAAGTTTAAATCAACATGAAATAAATAAATATAAATAAAATTGTAAAACTATTTTATACAAATGAATAATACTTTAATTAATAAAAATGAATAAAAATGTGAATAAATGTTGCGTTTAATTTCACGTTATAATGGGTTTTTAATTTAATCCTTGTAACATTAAAGCACTGTATTAGAAATAAATGTACTGATTAAATAATCTAATTATAAAATCTTAAATAAATCCATACCAAACTTTTGCAGTGAAATCAATTTCAAAAGTGTTATTCAATATTCATGTTCAAATATTCCTATTTGAACAGGATGGCATTTGTTTACCAAGTATTTACAATATTTAGTACATACTATGTACGGTACATAATGTACCATTGTATTAATTATAAGGAAATCCATGTTTATTGATTACATAGTGCAATTCAGTACATAATATAGTCCATAATACGAATAATGAATAAATTATTTTATTTTATATTATACACTGTATTACAGTAACAATAGTAGAAATAAGGCGTCATCCACAAAGTACTGAACATATGCAAAATTTTGGTCAAAAATTGACCCCCTCCCCCCTACACGCCCATCGTACATAGGAGTTTAACATGGGACATA